CACCCACACCCCCCATTACAGACAGGGCACCATTACAGACGTCAACAACCGCGCACAAAAGGCTTCAGATTCTATACAGTATTCTAATGTATTCATAATTATTTGAAAAAATAGTATGTTTTAGTTTACAAATAATGCAGTAGAATAACAAATTGAAAGGATATACGTGAGTTCCACATTTCAGCTCCAAAGGAGCTGCGCTGACAAGCTTTCTTTCCGATAGTAGATCGTTGAAACCTATATAAAATTCGTAAAGAACCACTATCGAATTTTTTTTGATTCTTCGAACTACAATGAACATGACAGAAATGTTATAAATGCATAACTAGATCATAGAATGTCCGAAAGATACAATGAAATGAACGAAATGAAGGTAGAAACAGATGGCAAATTATATGGGACTATCAAGGCATATTGTCATCATCATATAGAAAAGTTCTAAGAGAGTGAGTGGCGATTTCTTTATAGATTTTTATATAACTTTCGATAATATAGTATAAAAAAAGAAAATCAAGCTTTCACCTTTTTTTTAAATATGTTGAAACACACAAAAGAAAACGAACTTTTTCAAACGTTTTTTTGTTAATATAACGAATATTTGTAGAACTTCTCACGGCGCATCTTCTAAAAAAATTCAAGACTCTATCATTGAGCCTTGTTTGAAATACATGTTAAACAAGAACCACGAGTTTTCGCTGGAAAGAAGTAATGTCACACTTATTAAGAAAGCAATTCGATAGAAATTACTTCTTTATTCATTAAATTTGTGGAAAAAAGATGTTGTCATAGACGTGTTCAAATTTTCCGTTTAATGTGCGTGATAGGGGTGTCGCATTAGCATTAGTATGAGCATTTACCTAATGCTAACAACGATACTGTTGACTATGATTCGAACATAAAGATATTACACATCGAAACTATTTATGTATTAGTAAAACGGGCTAGTATCCTTGATTAGCTTCAATATTTTTATGCTACCATTTTTATACAAAAGGAAAGCAGCTACTAAAGATTAATACCATATTTTGTATTAACCTGTTAGCATCTATAATAGTTTTCGTTAGAGTTGTGTCATACAGGTATTGAACCTAAGCAGGGATACTAGTCCGTTCTAGAGATACATTAAACGTTTCAATTTATAACACTTTTATGTTAGAATCGTATTCAACATTATTGCTATTAGCATTAAATTAATGCTAATACTAATGCTAATGCGACACCTCAAGTGCGTAATATTGCTTGTTTTTCATATGCGAATGATTGTGCTCCATTCAACCATGACGAGAAAGAAAATTAAATGTCGATGAAATTTCGTAGTGTGGAGACATAAAAAGCTGTACATTTCTCGCAACTTCAATATCAAGAGTCGTATTTCTATAGAATCTTTCACTCTAAGCTATATAGTATCTCATTTATACTATGTAATAGTGTTGCATACTGTGTAAGTACGTATGTTAATAGATACTCGCCGGTTTGGGAGTGACTTTTGCTGATTACTTCTTGTGTATTTTTTGTTTTTCTAAAGAGAATGGCCGATGTGGTTCAGGAGAGAGGAATAAAAGTAGAGCTCCTAACTCAATTTTAAATAAATTTTGAGAAAGAGTAAACTTTCATTGGGGAAATATTCAATTGAAATCGATAGTTTTCTATTTGCTTCTTCTTTATTTGCATTAGTGATCCATTTTAATGACTAGGACACTTGTAAAGGTTTTTATTAATTTCTTCAAGTCTATTCTTAAAAATCTCTTTCGACAGAATCATTGAACTGCCAATGTTTTTCCCAAAAAATAAGGCTTCAATGAAAAGAGAGCCAAGGAAGTTGCTACATTCTCATACGCTCTTTCAAGCAAAAAAAAAAGAGTCATTTGGCTACAATGAAGCCTTGCAAAGAAAACCCGGCGATACTATGGAACTACTTTTGGTTCTTGTTTCAAGCATATCTTTATGACATTATGATAATTTTCCATGAAAGCCTTCTCAACTCTGAAGGTTGTATCAAAACATAATGCTAAACATATCAACCTTACAAAAAGTTTAGTTCATTTTCAGAATTAATCGAAACTTGAATTTTCTACGTCAGGATTGGTAACTTCTCACATCATTCTTTATGAAGCGATATTGATTGAAGATTCAAAGTTTTGGCCTAATTATTCGTTCTTGAGTTTTATAAATACTTGTTAGATTTCTTTGAAACATATCTCCACGACGAAAGAATCATATTAGAATTTCCCTTATCAATCGATTCTCTAGATGGATTCCAAGTATAGAGTAGGAATTCGTCAATCATTATTTGGAGCACCTTTCATTTTCCTAATCAATAAAATGTATTTCAATGAAAACGTGAATATGCTTCTTACATGCCGCATCATACAGAAACAGAATTTAGCTGTCTATTGAAAGAAATCTGTTTCAGCGTTTCCGATGATACACAGAAGCACGAATTGTCTTCAAGCATGAAAAGAGAGTATAGAATAGTCATTTTATCTAGATTCCTAGAAGCAATATCAGAAATTTATTATTTTTGTTTTTCTATTAAGATTACAAAAAATTCTCGTAATTAATCGATCAGCTGAACAATGGACAACACCAAGGCCAAAATGTCGGGTAAGTAACAAAACTAACAAGTTTTCAACATGGTGACTTGAGTAGAATAATACTGTATCGATTTCTAAATGTTAACTATTCGTAAGTTGGAAGAATTACTAAGCAGCATACAAACACTGTTTGACCATAGCCAACCTTGGTAAACGGCTACTTTTCCAATCTAATATTTTGAAAAAGCTTCTATATAAGAAAGATTTCTTCATACGGTCTGTATGCGGGCATAAATATCATGATAGAGGAAGCTAGAGGATCGAGAGTTCGACATCATCTGATAGTTTCTCTCTCTAGTAATTAGTGAGTTCACTTGGAATAAATTACATATACTACATGTTGAATTTGATTGACAATGGTATATTATACATTGGGTATGTTATTCGAAGTGACTATTATATAAAAGTTATATTGAAGATGATACCCAATGGATAATTCACTGAATGCATTGATATTCCTCAATTTTTCATGCATAGACGCTCCGTGATTTCAGACGCAATTTTCAGAAAATGATCATTCACTTGCAGAAATATTTTGTACCATAAGGTGACGGAAAAAAGGTCAGTCGATGAGATATATTACTTTCTCGGGTCATCAATATGGATGCACTATAGTTAAAGCAAATTTCGGACTTGAGTTTGAGTGCCTATGAGGTGTGAATTTCGATGTTTCTGTCATTTTTAACCCATCTACACTCAAACATATTAAGTGAAAAGCATCTTCCTATAGGTCACACGAACGAAAAAAACAAGATTCACAGATTAAAGACAACTACTGAATTCTTCAACGACCGATCTCGAAGAAGCAGGATACAAAATTATATAGTAATTTGGGCGGATGAGAACATTGACGAATGGAATGCGGGTTGTCAAAAATCTCTAGAGAAATTACGTCAGGTAGTAAATGATGTCACAATATGCACTGAACCAGGACAGTGCATCAGGCAACTTAAAGATTTAGATGACGGTAAAGCATTCGTCATCTCATCAGGTGCTCTTGGACAGCACTTTGTATCAAAGATACATGAGATTCCACGATTGGAAACTATTTATATCTTTTGCCGCAATAAGGCCTATCATAAAGTTTGGGCGAAAAATTGGGTAAAGATTAAAGGCGTTCACACTTCAATTCGTCGAATATGTAAGTCATTAGAAAAGGTCGCGCGTCAATGCGACCACGATTCAATTCCTATGAGCTTCGTTCCGAAGCAAAACATTCAAGATAATGCACAAGTTACCGAGCGAAATCTTGACCAACTGCCACCAACGTACATGTACTCAACTTTGTTTAAAGAGATCATTTTGGAAATCAACGAAGATGAAGACGAGTCGTTAAATGATCTTATTAACTACGCTCGTAGCAGAGACGTTCCGGAAAAACAGTTGAAAGAGCTGAGAGAGAAATATCACCAGAAATCGGCAGTCTGGTTGTACACCTGGGAGTGCTTTTTATATGGCATGTTAAACAAGGCGCTACGTTTGTTTGACGTAGAAACAATGTTAAAAATGGGCTTTTTTATCCGAGCCCTCCATCAACAGTTGGAAAAACTACATAAAGAACAATATAGCCGATTCGATAAAAAATTTATCGTTTATCGTGGACAAGGTATGAGCAAAGATGATTTTCAACAGTTACGCAACATCGAAGGTGGTCTGCTTTCCTTTAACAATTTTTTATCAACAAGTACCGAACGAAATGTAGCAATACAATTTCTTCACATAGCACTACAAAAGCCTGAAGAAATTGTGGGTGTCTTATTCATAATGACAGTTGAACCAGAAAAAGTATCACAAACCAACATGCCATTTGCTTACATTGAAGACTATTCAGCCATTAAAACAGAAAAAGAAATACTTTTTTCAATGCACACTGTTTTCCGTGTTCAAGGTATCAAACAAACGACGATGAACAAGAGATCCTTCTGGGAAGTACAATTAATTCTTACAGATGACAACGACGAACAACTGGCGAATCTTACTGCTACGATGAAGAAAGAGATAGGAGGAACTAGATGGTATCGAATGGGACAATTACTACTCAAAATTGGTCTGTTCCACAAGGCTGAAGAACTATATTTGGTTTTATTGCAACAGCCAACTGACGATAGTGATAAAGCAAATATCTATAACCAACTGGGAGAGGTGAGAGATGCACAAGGACTCTACAAAGAAGCAGTTTCATTTTACGAGAAGTCTCTCGAAATCAAACGTAAAACTCTACCCAAAGATCATTCTTCATTGGCTACTTCATACAACAACATCGGTCAAGTTTATTTCGGAATGCGGGACTACTCGAAAGCACTCGAATTTTACGAAAAAGCAAATAAAATCCTCGAAAAAGCTCTGCCTCCGAATCGTCCTCATTTGGCTACTTCATACAACAACATCGGTTCAGTGTATAACAACATGGGTGCCTATTCGAAAGCACTTGAATTTTACGAAAAAGCACATAAAATCCTCGAAAAAGCTCTGCCTCCGAATCATCCTCATTTGGCTGCGTCATACAACAACATTGGTGCAGTGTGTAAAGACATGGGTAACTACTCGAAAGCACTTGAATTTTACGAAAAAGCACATCAAATCAAAGAAAAAGCTCTGCCTCCGAATCATCCTGATTTGGCTATGTCATACAACAACGTCGGTGCAGTGTATACCAACCTGGGTGCCTATTCGAAAGCACTTGAATTTCTCAAAAAAGCACATAAAATCAAAGAAAAGGCTCTGCCTCCGAATCATCCTGATTTGGCTATGTCACACAACAACATCGGTGCACTGTATCAAGACATGGGTGACTACTCGAAAGCACTTGAATTTTACGAAAAAGCACATCAAATCAAAGAAAAAGCTCTGCCTTCGAATCATCCTGATTTGGCTATATCATACAACAACATCGGTCTAGCATATAACAACATGGGTGACTACTCGAAAGCATGTGAATTTTACGAAAAATCGCATAAAATCAAAGAAAAAGCTCTGCCTTCGAATCATTCTTCATTGGCTACTTCATACAACAACATCGGTCTAGCATATTACAACACGGGTGACTACGCGAAAGCACTGGAATTTTACGAAAAATCGCATAAAATCTTCAAAAAAGCTCTGCCTCCGAATCATCCTCATTTGGCTACTTCATACAGCAACATCAGTGAAGTGTATAGAAAGATGGGTGACTACTCGAAAGCATGTGAATTTTTCGCAAAAGCACTAAAAATCAGAGAAAAAGCTCTGCCTCCGAATCATCCTTCATTGGCTACTTCATACAACAACATCGGTGCAGTGTATAACAACCTGGGTGCCTATTCGAAAGCACTTGAATTTTACGAAAAAGCACATCAAGTCTTCGAAAAAGCTCTGCCTCCGAATCATCCTCATTTGGCTGCGTCATACAACAACATTGGTGCAGTGTGTAATGACATGGGTGACTACTCGAAAGCACTTGAATTTTACGAAAAAGCACATCAAATCAAAGAAAAAGCTCTGCCTCCGAATCATCCTGATTTGGCTTTGTCATACAACAACATCAGCTCGGTATATTATGACATGGGTGACTACTCAAAAGCACTTGCAGCTTTAAAAAGATCACATAAAATCTTCCAGGTAACATTTCCTCCGAACCATGTAAATTTGGCATTGCCATATAACTGGTATGGAAAGATTTATCGCAGTATGAAGGATTACTCAAAGTCACTTGAGAACTTCGAAAGGTGCCTTTCAATAGATCTAAAGGCATTGCCCGAAGGACATCCAGAGCAGGCTATTGATTACAGTAATATAGGTGATGTTCATCGATTAATGGGTAATTATGAAAAAGCACTTACATTTCATCGAAAGGCATTAAGTATTCAAGAAAATGTTAAATGTAACCCTCTGGAATGTGCAACAACGTATGTAAATTTAGGTGAAACTTATCGAGAAATGAAAGATTATTCAACAACTTTTACATATTATCAGAAAGGATTAGAAATACGTGAAAAAAAATTACCAAAAGATCATCCTGATTTAGCTGTTGTATATCACAATATGGCGAAATTATATCTTGCTACCCGACAATATAGCATGGCAATGAAAAATATTCAACAAGCAATAGAAATTGCTCAACAAAAATTGCCTTCAACTCATCCTCGTCTTTTGGAATATAAAGAAACATTTGAAAAAATTCGAAAGGAAATGTAATTTGTTTTTTTTTTCTTCATTACTCAATAAATTTTTGTTTTATTCTGGTTGTTTTCCGCTCATTTTGGCTTACGTGTGTAGGCGACAAGGAAGAGGTCCCTTGCAGAGTTACTAAATCGCCTGATTTTCATTTTTTGATTTTTACTTGACTGTTAGTGACATTTTGAACCAATAGGAGAGTTAAAAAGAGAAGAAAACTATTGCAGGAATTAATGAATGTAATAACTAATACGAAACTACGTCGCTCATTGTTTTTTCTCAAAAGTAAATCAAACATACATCCGTAAAATAAAATAATTTATATAAATTACTTATTTAAGTTCAGATATTAGTAGAAAGTACACACTGGTTCCGTGGAATGTCTTTTTCTGCAATGGGATACTACTGAAATATCAAACTCTTCAGATGATGATAAATCATCAACACATTCCGAACCAGTTTCTGAACCGAAATCTGCAAGTGATACTAATTCTGTTTCATCAAATATATTTTGGTAAAAAAAAATAAACTCCACACGTAAACTCCAAATCTGGAGCTCCCCAGGACAAAGAAACCGACTGTCGGATCCGACGGAGAATCCGACACAATCCGATAACTTCCGATAGGAATCCGACAACTTCCGATAGGATCCTGTCGGAAAGTGTCCGATTCCTTTCCACAGGATTCCGACAGGAAGTCGTCGGATGTCGGATCCGAGAGTCGGAAAGCGTCGGAAAGTGCCGGTTCCGACAGAAATTCTACTGCAACGTCAGGTATTAAAACATGTGGTACAAATCCCGTTTGTCTCCATAAAAGTCTGTAAATGTTCGGTATGAAACGTTGTCAGATCCAAGTAAGTGTTTGTCTCAATGATAATTAGTTTTAGTTGCTCGATCTGATACTGACCACCAGATCG